AGGTATGCTTAATGACCCCGAAGGAGCATCATAGGACAGTGTCCTGATCATAGCAAATGCTTACATGGGATTTGATGTCAGGCACTTTTCTAAGCCCTTTACAAAAGTTAATTTATTTAATACTTACAAATCTGTGAGATAAGTACTATTAGAATTCTCGTTTTGCATATATGAAAAATACGACATGGAAAGACTAAATAACGTGCACAAGATCACACAGCTAGCATGTAAGTGACAGTTTAACTCCAGACAGCCTGGCTCTGGGGCCATGATGCTGTTACTCACAGTGCTGTCCTGCATCTTTGGAAAGGACCACGCTGTTACTATGACCCATCGTCATGACATCTGGGAGGAAGTGGTAACTCTTACTAAACAGGGAGAAGAAGAAGAAAATAAAAATACCATTCTCTGTGACCTTAGGCAAGACATGTAATTTTTCTGTGTCCTTGATGTTACATTTAGTAATTAGCTTTGGCTTCAAGAAAATAAAACAATTTCACTTTTCTTTAGAGCAGTAGATATTCCACAGGAAATGGTGTCTTTTAAATACAAGATTGTGATATTATTAACCATCATTTTTATTTATATAAGTTAAATGTTCTCATATTGTATCTGAATAAATTAATCGAGGGTACCCGTGGAAGGCTCAAACGCCACTAACCAAAGGAAGTCTAGCTCTTGGCGTCCCACTGAATTCTAAATGCATTTTTAAATTAATGAATCTAGGAAAAAAACTGACATTGCAGGTAATTAAATTCATTCTGAGAAAAGTATGTATATATGGGTGGTATTGCCAGCATTGGAACAGAATACTAATAGCAAATTGTGGGAATTTGGTTGGTTACTCTGGGCGCTGGGTGAACATTGACCTATTTTGAATAACCCTGTGACTCATCTAAAAAGCTCCAGGTCACAAGTACAGCATTTAAATGGAGACATGAATGCCACAGTATAAAGATTTTCCTCACTTCAATGACTACATTTCCTAAATCAGAAAACCTTCCAATTTTAGGTATACCCAAAATAGCGTTGGTATATGGGGTCCATATTAACAGCTTTCATAAACAGGCACCCCTTTGTCCAAGACCCAATCCTAGAACTAAAATTTTGCATAACACTATGACCATATTCAAGAAATTTCCAATCACTATTACAATGCCACAAAAAGAAATTTAAAATGGGCTTATTTCTATTTTGGCTGATGATTAAATATCCCAGTCCAGAATTTTAAATCATTCCAGTGTTTTGCAGAAAAAAATAAAATGGGAAGAGCTAGGAAAGCAGTAATTTCAAGAAAGCAGGCTTCTCAACATCCTACAGAATATGGCCACAAAATAAGAAAGGGTTCTTGGAGAAGAGAGAGGAAGCCTTTGTGTCAAACATAAAACATCCGGTTCAGCACAGCAAACACTTGTGAAAAATTAGAAGCAAATGTAATTTTCAACATACTAAGTGCACTTTACCATTGTTCTCATTTGCCAGTCATGTACTTATCTCCTCCAAACACACCTGATTTTCTTCAGATGTTCTCTATATCACAAAAGAAACATCAGTTTCCTACCATGAACACACTTACATTTTTACCTCCAGTGCAGATGATCAGGAAACTGAAAGCCATCTTTGTAGGTCAGTCAGGGAAAGCAGCACCATGGAGGAGGGCGGAAATCGGTAGACTCCACTCAGCACTCAGGTGACCAAGCTATGTGACTGCACAAATCATTGATCTCTGTGCCACAGTTTTCTCTTTTGCAAAATGGAAAACCTGCTGGACTCGCAGACTGTCATGAAGACAAAGTGAGATGATCACTGTCACCCACCGTGTCATAAACCATGATGTGCTGTGAACACGTCAAAGGTTACACAGGATCTTTTTCAAAACAATGTTACTAAATTCTTTAGACCAAAAGCATGAGACTTAATATCTGTTGTTTCTTTGTCGAAATGGGGAGATTTACAAATGTTGGGAAGTTGTTAAAGGCAAAAAAGTATCAAAAATGAGATGTTAATCTTGATGCAATCAGAAGGATGGAAACAGAAGTAAGGCAGGAATAACAGTTATTTAATGTTCAAAGAGTGTCAGTGCTTTAGAAGGACCAAATCACCTTTTTTCCACCTGAAACTATGTCTGCTCCATCAGTGACAGGCATCCCACACTTTGGAAAACAACCAACCGAAAGAGTCCTCCTACTCCTAGGAATAGAATTCCATGATTCTTATTGCTAAATCATTTATCTAGAACCACAACTTTTGTTAGCTGCAAAACTGGGCTAAAAGTATAAGATTCTTCATGTCTTTCATCTCTCCTAACCACTGAAACCCACAATCAGCAAAGTGGCGCATCATACCTCAATTTTTACAAAATGACAGGCTGGATACAAGTGACAGATAGATGCCTCCGACAGTAATGACCTCAGGGACCTGGGATTTTGTTACAGATGGCTAGCAATGGAAAACAAATTTTGAGTTGTTATCAAAATTAAACACCTGCAAATGGATGAGTGGATCCATCAAGTGACTCATCAGAAGAGTCTCTCCTATTGTTAATCATGTACAACATCTCCATACACTGGATATTGCAGAATTCTCTAGACCCATCCACATGGGCAATTTGTCTAGTAGACATGTGCCCAAGTATGAGTGCTCAGGCCCTGACTCTTGAAAGAAAATTAATTGGCAACACAAATGCAATTATGTCACTTTCCAACTTAAATCCTTCCAGGGCTTCTCATTGGCAAGGGATAAAGTCTGAGGTCTCTAACACTATCTCGAGAGTTTCCCCATCATCCTGTCCTGCTCACCCCTTCTGCTGCCCCACACTGTTCACTTTTTCTTTTGCTCTCTGTGCTCTGAACATACTGACCTTCTTTTATGTTCTCTAAAGGAGGCCTGTTCATGCTCTTTTGTCTGCCAAGGATGCTCTTACCCAGCTCCCCCCACCCCATGCCAATGCTCATTCATTCTTCAAGTCTCAGATAAGCATCACTTCCTCAAAGGGACCTTCTAGATTAGATTATAGTCAACTGTCACAGACTTCTCTGCTTCTTTTTAGCACTGTCAATCACAGTTGAATTGCTGGTTCATGTCTTCCTACTCCACTGGTGTGAAAGCTCACTGAGCTGGAAGTGTGTATCTCATCTATCCCTGTAGCCCTGGCATGCACCACAATGTCTGGCACTAAATAGACATCAGTAAGCAACTGTTGAATGAATGAGTAAATAAGTGGTTTCAGACTGGTCAACGCCTAAGGTCACAGAGTCCTACCAGAATAGAACCTTGAGCGGATCTGGTATCCCTTTTCAACTTTATCTGGACCATCTCCTTTTCTAAATGTGTCTTTTCATGATATCAGTCTTTCTGAGAGGCAGAGGAGTAACCCATTGCACTACTGAGCTGAGTGACATTCCAGGATCCTTGGTGTAATTTAGTCATGGGGAATGCACCCTCCTCAAAGTTGGGCCACCCTAATAACCAACCTAGAGTGTCCAGATGAATCCTCACACAATCCTGGGGCACAGCAGGTCACTGATGTGAAAATATTCTCAAGCTTCCCATCTTGCTTGCTTTTAAGCAAAAAAATTTTTCATACTTTTTTGTTAAAGAAAATTTCATAATTTCCAGCTGAAATAGCCACAGTGATGAGGAGGGGTAGTGGCTTAGTGCACTTAGTGTGACAAAAGGCTGTGTGGTGGGTGCCCTGACCAATGTGACTCAGTTGGTTGAGCGTTGTCCTATGCACCAAAAGGTCACTGATATGGTTCTGGGTCAGGACACATGCCCAGGTGCAGGCTTGATGCCAGTACGGGGTGTGCATAAGGCAGCCCATCTATGTTTCTCTCTCTCCCCCTCCCTTCCTCTCTCTCTAAAGTCAATAAAAACATATTTTTTAAATCTGGTTTTTTTGAAAAAGGAAGTATGGTGTAACAAAGAGCACTAGACAAGGAGTCAGCAGAACTAGGTTCTGGTTCTGGTTCTGGTTCTGCCTCTTATTTGCTGAGTGACCTTAAGCATCTGGTTCTTTTTGGATAAAATATCCTTCCCTTTTAAAATGTATAAATCTTTTGGCTAGAGGGTTCTTATGAGCACCAAATGAGATGATTATATTTTACTATTGAGTATGGGAATCACTCGTACTACAATTATAAAAAACTTGTAAACTTTAAAATACTAAGCAAATTATAATAATTTGGTCACTGGTTCTTAAGAGCAGTTTTATCGTCCTCATTTTGGAAAGTATCTGTGAATAATAAAGTGATTTGTTATTCCCTGCCATTTGATGGCTGGTAGAAATAGCTCAGTTCTCACCAGGCTGGTGAGAGGAGTTGAAGTTCGTCCACGTTTAAGAGGTAATAGAGCATTGATTAGATATGATGCACTGCTCCTGCTTTTCTTAATTCTTCTATAGTGAAAATACTCTTTTAATAAAGTAGTCAATGTGATACCTCCCTGTGGATCAGACCCTTGTCAGCTATAACACAGCAAAATCTTGACACAAATAATGATGACCTGAATTACAGGCCATATAAACTACCACCTACATGAAATGATTCAGAGGAAACATAGTTTTGTTTATCTTTATTGATGCTCAAAAGTCAATGATCTTTTTTCACAACTAGAGATGATGTTGAAATTTAAATCTTTAAGTAAGTCATATAGTAAATTTTTACCAAGATGCTGATGATTCATTGAAGGTATTTTTTTTTTTATTATGACACTTGAGGGTGAGAGTATTAAACACAATGCCATAGAAAAGAAAGAAAAAGAACTAAATTTTTCTACTTTACTCTTTTAGGTTCTGAGACATTAAAATGGATTTATTTTTAAATGCACTGGTTTTTTTTAATTATTCCAGTCAAAATAACTGTTCTAAGAAAAATATAGGATGAAGTAATATCTATCTAAAGGAAATTGTCATAATGCTTTCTTACGTTCTATAATATTTCTCAGTAACATGTACCGAATATTACAGAGTTCACCTGTTTTGATGATGTTTTTTATTGCAGACTAATAAATGAATCTTTGCGGGACCAGCTACTGGTGACCATCCAGAAGACCTTCACATACACTCGAACCCAAGCCCAGCACCTGTTCATCATCCTCATGGAATGCATGAAGAAGAAGGAATTGGTATGTAAGCAGTGTCCCCGTGAGTGGCCAAGCTCTCTCCACATCCCCTCTGTCTGTTTAAACATTTTCTTGAGTCACACACTGTTTTTTCTTTCCAACCAAACACACTCTTCCTTGGGCCCCATTGGCTTCTGTAGTCCCCAACCCCACCCCAGTGGCTAGGACACTGCTCTTCCTGCCCTAATGTAACGAGCCCTGTGCGGCGGGTTGCAGTCTCGTTTCTGATTGAAGCTCACCCAGATGCTCTGATTGCCTCAGCCGAATGAGGGGACAAAACAGGTCTCCCCCTGGGAAATGCTTCAGTCGCTCCGCGCTTAGGTTTGAGGGTTCGCTGTGCTGTGAGTAAGTGGAGCCCTGATGTGCTGGTTGTCAGGCATCTCGGTGACAGGGGCCCAGCCACCATGCTGGTCTGTACAGGGAGAACATGGGGGAATGTGCCCGAGGAATGCGGGAAATTTTTGTCGTTTCTGAAGTGGCTTCCAACAGCTACTGAAACATTTCCTACATCTGGGGAAAGTGTCTCACAGAATGTGGTGCCCAGAGCCCTCCTGCTGGGGTGAACAGAAATAACAAGCGAGCTAACGTGTGAGGAGCACCTGCAAGGCGCCAGGCAGGATGCTCGGCCTTCACGTGTACCAGCGTCTGTGGTGTGTGCAGCAGTCTCCGGGAGAGAGGTGTGGTCATTGTTTTTACCGTGCAGATGAAGAAATGCAAAATCATTGATTAGTAAATGAAGAACTAGGGCTCAAAACCAGCGGTGTTTAATGTCTGTTGGAAATATTTATATTCAGAATTGTCTCGCTGAAGCCAGTCTAGTGAACCCGCCCACTGTGGGCAGATTCTCAGAAGACCTCAGCAGGCAGGGGCTGTTCCAGAGGGCATGTGAGCACACCTGCCGGCAGGGACATAAAGAAGCAGTTTAAACCCAACCAGTGGTTTCACTTGGGTTTTAGACAACCAAGTCTGTGTGGGCATCCTGGAATGATTACTTCTGAAGATACTGGGGTGGGGGGGGTCACTTCTCCTCCAGAGAAGCATGAGGGCCAGACCCTAACAGCTCAAGCACAGGGGCATCAATAGGATAGAAAGGAGCCAGAGCCACCTGCCGCCATCCAGCTCCCCCACTGGCCCGTGAGCCCCTGAGGCACAGGTTCACCGTGGGGTTGCTATGCCTAGGACAGTGGCTGGTACACACGGGCTCACTGTGACTGCCAGGAGGGGAGGCAAGGCCATTTCTGAATGTGAAAGGCCAAACATTTAGAAAAAGGGAAGGTATTCAAGTCAGCAAGAGCCATCTCCAGAAAACATCTCGTGATCCTTGAGAGTTTTCAGCAGTTTCCAGGTTGGGGTGGAAGGAGTAGAGGTGAGGACAATGGGACAAGGCCTCTCTAATCCTTGGGCATCCATGGACCTCAGTAGCCTGTCCCCACTGTGTAGAGAAGCCAGCGTGCAGATGGGTTCACAGTCATGACCCCGATGCCCCGGGAGAGCCATGCTCCCGTCTGGAAGGCAGTTGGCTCTCAGCTGTTCAGATCACCGCTTCCTCTGCCCCCAAGGAGGCAAAGGAACCCGGAGCTTCCACGTGCGCACTATGGATTTTCTCCTGGCTGAGTATAATGATGTTCTCATGCTAAAGCCAATGCTGACTGTGAAAACCTATCAGAACTACACATTTCAGTGGTCCTGCAAATTTCCTAGAAAAACAGCTAGGATTAAATTCTGGGAACCAGTTGGAAGTCATAAAACCAAATGAGGCTGAATGTGCCTCTCTGCATATTTTGTAGGACTATTCCCAGGGATTCTGCCTAATAATTGTCATGTCATTTAATCATGACTCCTGTCGGAAAGGTCAACTGCATTTTAATGTAAGATCTGTATTGCAGGATATACAGGGTATCCCTAGCTGTCAGGTGAGGCAGTGTGACCTTAACAGGAAATGAATTGTCCTTATCTCCACATCTGGGCAGAAAGCAGTTTGAATTTTTAAGAATCATAAATGTAATTATAATAATTTCCACTTTTGAAGGACAGTTTATGTGCATGGACAGTACTAGATGCTTGATAAAGGATGTGGTCAAACCCGGCCAGTATGGCTCAGTGGTTGAGCATTGACCCATGTACCAAGAGGTCGCCAGTTCAATTCCCAGTTAGTGTACATGCCCAGGTTGTGGGCCAAACCCCCATTGGGTGGCCATGCAGGAGGTGGCTAATCAATGTTCTCTCTCATCGATATTTCTCTCTCTCTCTCCCTCTCCCTTCCTCTCTCTAAAATCAACAAAAATAAATAAATAAATAAATAAATAAATAAATAAATAAATAAATAAATAAAATCAATAAAGGGAAAAAAAATGTGGACATGAGGTGGGCATTACTTTTCCTTGGAGGGACTAGAGAAGTTAACTGAGGCTGGGCGAGGTGAAGGGTGTACATTACATACTGGAGTTTCTCTTCACTCTTATCTCCTCTGAGTTTTTTTTTATTCCCTTTAAAAATTTCGTGGGATATAATATTCTGAGGTCAATCTAACCATTGCCAAGTGCAGCTAAGGGATTTGGTTCTGCAGCAAATCTGATAGCAAATCTGATGTCTTTCTCATCCCAGCATCCTAGTAACATGTAATGAAGAACTACACCACGAATGTACATGTATATGGGCCTGTGGCTTCATGGGAAATATGCATTGATGGCATTTGTGTTGAGTGCTTTCTAGTCCATATCATTCTTGTGTGTGTGTGTGTGTGTGTGTGTATCTGTTTCCAGTCTCTATTCTTTTTTTTTTTTTTGCAATTTTTATTAATTTAGTTTTGTTACAGATGTTTCTCCTTCCTCCCACCCCGACACGGTCCTCCTGATCGCCCCTCCCCCAGCATTGCTGTCTATGTCCATTGTTACCCTACTCCATATCATTTTTGACCAAAGTCACTTATCTGCTTATTTCCTACTTGGGCTCAAAACATCTCAAAACATGTCACCTTCTGAGAACATATATCCCCTCAGAAGCCAACTTGTGAGCTAAGTTCCATCACTGTTATCAAGGGGAAAAAAAATCAAAATCAAACAACAGCATATTAATTTTAGGGGCAAATGTAAGGGATCAGGAAGAAGGCGGTAGAGAGGCGCTCACCTTCCCTCGAAGTTACTTGCTCGTGGATTCAATGATACGTATTATACTCTGTAGATTCTCTATTTCCTCACCTTCTCTCGTACAGTTCATTTTCTCTTTTCATTGCTATTTTCTCTCCTTCCTCCCTGTGTTATAAACAGGTATTTATCAAATATCAATTCCTGGCTCTTTCCCCTTTCATTCACCATTCTGACTTCAGTTATCATTCTGAGGCAACACTCAAATGCACAAACATCTAGCCTTATCTTCCTCCAGGCTCCTGCATTTCTGAATCCCACACAAGCACAGTAGACCTCCTATGGTCAGAGGGAAAGAAAACTTTTACAGCCAAAAAAGGGGCTTTTTAAGCCAAATAACTGAAAATCATAACACCATGTATCGAGTTTAGAAAACTGTTCTCTCCAACACAATGTTTGTGAAGAAATAAAAATGTTCTTTGCAATAGGTGCTAAATTTTACCTAGCTAATTTTAAGTTTATTTGACTATCATGCCATTAATAAAGTCCAAACATTTTAAATGAGATGGTAGAAAGAAGATGCAGAAAAGTATTGCTTCATTTAAAAAGTGTTTCATATTATTTCTCAGTTCGTGGTGGGTTACAGATTAAGCTTTGGAAGTTCTGAAACTCTTTTAGATGAGTAGATTATCACTGGTCTAGGAATAAGGATGATGCAGGCTTTGGAATCAGTTTAGTACGTGACAATGGGTGCATTATCGAATCTCTAGAGGCCTGTTTTCTCTTCCAGAAGTTGAGATAATAATAGTATTTATATTATTGGATTAATTATAAGAATTGAATGAGTTAACATATGCAAAGAACATAAAAAGCACTCAATAAATACTTTTATTTTAACAATGATGATGTCTATGTAGATTTTTTTTTTTTAATAATTTTTTTTTATCCTCACCTGAGGACATTTTTTGATATTTTGTTCAGATAGAGTGGGAGGGAGAGAGAGAGAGAGAAACATCGATGTGAAAGGGACACATCGAGTGGTCACCACCCACATGACCCAACAGGGCCAGGGACAAACTGCAACCAAGGTACGTGCCCTTAGCGGGAACCAAACCGGGTCTCTCCAGACCGCAGGCCAACGCTCTAACCGCTGAGCCAAACCGGCCAGGGCTAGATTTTTTTTTTTAATCCTTACCCAAAGACATTTTTCCATTGATTTTTAGATGGAGTGAGAGAGAGAGAGAGAAAAAAAAATCAATGTGAGAGAGACACATCAGTTGGTTGCCTCCAGCACAACTCCAACCGGCCGGGGATCAAACCTGCAACTGAGGTACTTGCTCTTGATTCGGAATCAACCCAAGACTCGTCAGTTTGTGGGCCAACACTCCAACCACTGAGCCAAACTGGCCAGGGCCTACGTATATTTTATATTTAACAAAGATCATTTTTGTGTCATCTTATTTGACACTACAACCAGCCTTGCTAACATCACTATTAGTTGACCATTTTATACAGGGAAATCAAGACTCAAAGGCTTAAATGACAAGCCCGTGGTCATGTAGCTAGTGAGTGGCAACTCCATGACTTGAACCAACAGCATCTTTCTGCAAGTCCTGGCCTCTCTTTACCATATTTCAGTTGATTCCATATTATAAATATTCGGTATGACCACGTTAAAAATGACTCTACGTAGAAGCCCATTTTTCTCTCTCATTCCTGGAGTATTCTGAACAAGTACTCATTAGACGTGGAGAATCCTGGAGAAAAAAAGAATACATTGTTGGTGACTTTTCCTGAAATGTCCTCACTCTCATGCAGCAGTCATTCTATTTCTACAAGGACAGTGTAAGCACAGCGTCCAGGTCTCTTGATATTTCTACCTCAAGGACAAACTAAAATTATTTTTTTTCCAGCATATGT